ATTTTTAGTACACTTCTGAATACATTTCCAACTAACTGCCTTATCAGAATTATAGTCAAGACTGTATTTCCATTTTCCATATATTTCCCTCCAATACCTAAAAATTACAACCACTTGACAAATGAAATAAGGAGAATTAACTCAGTTTGGGGTAAGGCTGTCTTTCTGATTGGGTACTCAAAGCAACAGTGGATACGTAAGGGATTATTCATAGATCATAAGCATGGTAAAGTAAAACAACTGAGCGACCCCCCCGCCCCCGCAAATTCTTGTTGAAAGTCTGAGTATATTACAATATCTAAGAGGTCTATAGAAATCTACATATTAGATTACCTTCTTATGATTAAGGATCTAACATGAATGCCTCAGGCTTTATAGTTCTTTCAATCATTAGTTTTGCCATAGAGGGCCAAAGTCAGACATGCTTCTGAACACATACTGATGCTTTGACATACTGTTTAAAAATCATTTTATGACAAATTCATCAGAATTATAAATCAAGGAAAGGAAACACTGTCTGCAGACTAGTCAGCTGCCCAAGGATGACCACACAGGACCTTTTCATGCACTGACACTCTCAGACTCCTTTAGATGAACCTGAACTCTGTATATTTTACAATGTTTATCTTGAGTAGTTTTAAACCCCTTTGGCTCATCACAGAAATCTAGACCACCCAACAGAAAGCTAGACTACAAGCGCGGTGCGGATGACACCAAGCCAAGGGTTGCAATCCCCTTACCGGTCACACACACACACAAAAAAAAAAAGGACAAAAAAAAAAAAAAAAAAGAAAGAAAGCTAGACTACACAAAACTGGGCTGCATGCCAACCTCCTGTTTTCATACTAAGATTCTGGTATTTTTTAAAACTAAAAGATTTAAAAGTATATAGCTCATACCCATCTCTTGGTGAACTTTTAAAAAATCTAACCGTTTAGAATTAGACTTCCTTTTCATTTGGCTTATCCTCCATGTTCTCTGTTTTAGTTTATCCTTAAGTGGGCCAATGGCAGCTTATGTGAATCCTCATGGATACGTGCATGAGACGCTTACTGTGTATAAGGCTTGCAACCTGAATCTGATAGGACGGCCTTCTACAGAGCACAGCTGGTTTCCTGGGTAATATAATGCTGGTGGTTGATTTCTTGGGGGGGGGGGGGGGCCCGTACCTTAACTGGGCAGAAACACCCAGAGTCCTT